TATTTGCATATAATTACAACATCCGAAAGAAAATCAGAGATGCAGCTTTTGTAAACTAGACCAGACCAAGAAGCTATAGTTCAGTAAGAAAACATTTCTCTTTATTTCAGGCTTTAACTTTTTATATATATTTTTTATCACTTTCTTTCTTTTGTCATTTTAACATGTTCTCATGTTACTCAAAATAGGTTCTCTTGGAAAAGCAGGGATCGACTCCTAAATGTGCTGTTATGCATGAAACCACGGAGCTTTACACATGCCGGCGAGATGTAAACTATTATAGGAACATTCATTTTACAAATTATATAAATGAAAAAACACTTGATGAAGTAAAGGAGATGTAATGCTATTTGAGAGGTAAATGACAGTGGTTAAAATATTTTTTTAAAACACAAAAAATAGACAGATTAGATTAAAAAAAGAGATGTAAAACAACTAAATCTTAATTGACAGATGAGTGATAATGATTTCTGAAATGTAAATGATTATGAAGTGAGATAAATAACTACAAAATAAGAATAACATGACAGTGTTTATGTATTTTAAGCCTGTTCAGTAACTGTGGCTGTTTTAAATACAAAGAAAGTTTGGATCGACTTTTTATTCACATCGGTAACTTTTCATTATTGCTTGAAACCTAAAAAATTAAGTTTTTATATATTTTCATCTCTTTTACAAACGTTAGAATCAGCCACAGTAAGAATCCAACGTCAAACTGAGCCACAGGGGGCAGCATTGCACCCGCACGCATCCAATCATGCCCCGAAAGGGGAACAATCCCCACGAAGAAGAGGAATAAGGCCCACGAAGAAGAAGCCGCAGTTGAACCTCGTGAAGCGGGAGTTGACAGTTCGCTAACATGAACTGGTAACTTTCATTATTTCACATCTTTAAACGATCGCTGACATTTAAGTCTCTTTATCGTTGACTCCGTTTGCGAAAGGCGCCTCTTCACGTCAGCTGCTTGTTCAGCCTGCTGCTCTATGAGTCTACTGAGCTAGCTGAGGCTAACGATGCTAACACCCCTGGTGCTGATGCTAACAAGCTAAATGTTGACATTCGTCAACTCGGCAGTGAAATAAGTACTGAAGTAAAAGTACTGATCCCACCCTGTGGATAAACTCATGCTTGTTAGACATTTGTCAAGTCAACGTCAGGAAGAAGTATTGAACGCAGCGAACTGTCTCTGAAACATTTGCTGTGTGATGATAAGTTTGAGCTGTGTTTGTACTTCAGGGGTCAGAGTGAGCTGCCGTCTCCTGTGGTTCGAGATGACGAGGTGACGATCGCTGCCCGCAGGAGAAGAAAGAAGGTGGCCTGTATCCTGCCTCTGGAGACTGTTCATGTGTCGGTGCTGTCTGTGGTTTTAAGTTCAAAGCTAAATATTAGTAGTAGAGTAGTGGAGACTGCTCACAACTAAGAAATCAGGAAATAATTATATGTGTAAGAATAATGGTATGGAAATGCTGCTGTATCACTGGTATTGATTCATAATGTCCGAACTGTCAGTGTTTTCCTGAACTGTTGTCCTCAGTCCCGTCACCCGGCAGTGGCAGCCCCGTCATGTCCACGGTGACACCAGCCCGCTCCCTGCGGAACACTCCTGCTTCACTGTTCAGACAGGCTGGTACGACACACAGACACGCAAATCTTTTAAGCCTGATTTCACACACACGATTGTCTAACCTAATATCGTTCCTCTCATCTGTCTCATCTCTGTCTCAGTAACTCCCAGGGTTCCAGATGTTTCCTCCATTTTGGCTCCAGGGGGTCGAACTCCTCGGTACACACACACGCCCCGAAACACACTCGGCAGTCTGGTAAGACACAAAAACACTGGTTCCTCTATAGAGCGACTTGAACACTCACTAGCCTCGTGACACAATAGTCCATGATTAATGATGGTGTGTGTGTCTATGTATCTAGAATTTGGATGACAGTGACTGGACCAACAGCATGTTCACGTCCCCTCTTGCCGGTCAGGAGAACACCAGCTTCTTCACAGAGGACATCGCCAACCTCAGCTCAGCTCTGCTAAAGGAGGACGACCCGGGAGAAGCCGGTGAGTGAAACAATCGCCCCCATGTTATTCAGGAGTGTTAGTGTAAAATACTGCTGTGTTTTAGTGCAGCTGTTTTTCATCTTTTCAGCGGCTGCCAGTCTTTTCCCAGAGTTCCTTGCATCTTTTCTGAAACACTCTTCCTCTGCGGTGTTCGATCTCTTGGAGGATTATCAGACACTCTGCCAGGACAAAGTAGGTGTTGTGTTTGTGCTCTGGTACATCTAAACTTTGAGTTTTAGGGACCTATGACATCTAATCTGTTTGTGTTGTGAAAGTGAAGCAGACCAACTGCAGGAGTTTATAGTAGTTTGAATTGATGTGACTGCTGCAGCTGAATTACTCACCGTTCCTCCTCCGCCATCTTTAAGGTGGACGTGCTGCAGTCTGTGGTCCTCAGAGCAGGTCAGAACAGTAAAACAGCAGGAGTCCGCTGGCTACTGCAGCAGGAGAGCAGCTCCTGGAGACTCATCACCTCACTCTACAGGTGCCTGTCGTCTTGATAGACTGTCTCTTTGTCCGTTGGTTATCTGTCCGTCTGCTTGTCTCTCATTGCTCACCTCTCTTTCTGCAGGGATCGGGTCCAGTTGGCGCTGGAAGATGACGTCACCATGTCGGACATGGTTGTAAGTTACAGTGTTGACTGATTTTCTTTGTGGTTTCATACATTAATCCTCGGCCTTGATGAATACGCAGGCCATAGTGTGAAACACAGACGTGTACAGACTGATAAAGATCTAATTCTGTCTGCGTCTTTTCGTTTGTAGGCTCCAAGTGAGAGTGAGAAGGTTGTGGTGGAGCAGCTTTTTCAGCGAGATGCTGTCATTCGACAGAGTCAGGTAACGACCGCACACACAAGCAGGAAGCAAACCCTACAAATTGCTGACCATTAACTGTCTGGTAACTGTGTTGCAGCTGGTCGTTGATTGGCTGGAATGCATTGCCAAGGATCAAATTGGAGATTTTTCTGATAATATAGAATATTATGCCAAAAATGTCTGCTGGTGAGTTCACATCTGTTTTGTTTTTTTAATTGTCAAGTCTACAGTCGTGTGTTTATGAGAAGTGAGCTCCTGTGAGTGGTTCAGTGAAGTGTGTGTCTGTGTGTCTGTCTCAGGGAGAACACTCTTCATGCGCTGAAGATGAGGAGGAAGAGCGGTGCTGCGTTCACGGTTCCTCTGGTCACTGAGCTGGTGAGGCCTGTTACCATGACAACACACACATCCTCATTTCTAGTGTTACTAGATACACAAATAATAAGTGTGTTTCTGTGTTCAGGACCCAGACGCCCCTCTCCGGCAGCAGCGCCCCCTGGCTGATCTGGACAGAGAGGACGACGCCCGACTGCTGAAGAATCTGTTCAACCTGATCAGAGCGGGGATGACGGAGGAGGTAAAGAGACATTTAAACAGAGAGAGAGAGAGAAAACTATTTTTGGTCAAGTTTATATGTGATGACAAATAATCTCAAGACGTCTCATCACTCACGTCAGCAGAGATATTAACAGAGAGGATCAAAATCAGTCTGAAGTCTACATGTGCCTCTTCGCTGTGTGTTGGGACTTCAGAGTCTCATGTCCTTTTGTCTGTGTGTGTGTTCAGGCTCAGAGGCTGTGTAAACGCTGTGGTCAGGCCTGGAGAGCAGCAACTCTGGAAGGATGGAAACTTTACCACGATCCCAACATGACCTCAGGTAAACTCTCACCACAGTTTAAGACTCAGTTGTCTATGTAATTTATAACGAGAAGAAGATCTTGTTTGAAAATAGCACTTTCAGTCACACTCGTCACTTTCTCATTACGACTCCTCTGAAGACTTTTCCCTCTCCGTCTGTTCCTCCATTGTCTGCAGGCAGTATCGAGTTGCAGCCTGTGGAAGGAAACCCTCAGAGAGGAGTTTGGAAGGCCTGCTGCTGGAGAATGGCTGAGGAGGTGTGAACACTCACTGGAGAGCTGATCCCTGTCGGGCAATGATAATGCAGCGTGCGGTCCACAAATTAACCAGTGTTTGTCTGACACTACTTTTCCTTCACGCATTTCAGGAGCAGTTAAACAGATACGAGAGAGCGATCTACGCCAGCCTGAGTGGAAACCTCAAACCGGTAAAAATCATATGTTCATAGGTTGCAATAATAAAGATTCAATAATCAGCCTGCGGATTAGTGTGTATAGATCCAGATGGTGATGGTGTGTGTGTGTGTTGTGTGTCAGCTCCTGGCAGTGTGTGAATCATGGGAGGACTGCGTGTGGGCGTACTTCAGAGTGATGGTCGACTCGCTGGTTGAAAAGGATCTGATGTCATCGGGTATGGCCCACCAGGAAGTGGAGACACTGCCGCGAGAATACCTGGAGGCGAAGTATGACCCACACGAGCACATACACACACATTAGCCTGAATATAAAACACATATCACCGTAGTTCATGTGTCACTGGTTTTACTTTTTTCCCGTG